GCCAAAGCATCACAGCAATAATGGAATACAGTATTAAGGATTTAATGGACTTTATTAAATCTTGAATTAATTTTCCCATGGGCTGCAAGAATACAGGGCAATTCTGGATTTAATGGACTTTGTCTGCTGCTTCCGAATTTTGTCTGGCCACAGATTTTGTCCATTAAATCCAAGGTTGTTTAAATCAAGTTCTGATAAATTGAAGCTTTGCTATGTATCTATGCTACATGGATTTCATGTGCTGTATTACTCATATCTTTCAGTATGAAACATTGGGTGTGTTTCCTTTCTCTAGTCGCCCATATTCACCCATCAGTAAAATAGGTACCTGGGTGTTAGTCGACTGGTGTGGGTCATATCACCTGGAGTTTACCTGGAGAGAGTTTCGGGGGTCAACGCCCCCGCGGCCCGGTCTGTGACCAGGCCTCCTGGTGGATCAGCGCCTGATCAACCAGGCTGTTGCTGCTGGCTGCACGCAAACCAACGTACGAGCCACAGCCCGGCTGATCAGAACTGACTTTAGGTGCTTGTCCAGTGCCAGCTTGAAGACTGCCAGGGGTCTGTTGGTAATCCCCCTTATGTGTGCTGGGAGGCAGTTGAAACAGTCCTCGGCCCCTGACACTTATTGTATGGTCTCTTAACGTGCTAGTGACACCCCTGCTTTTCATTGGGGGGATGGTGCATCGTCTGCCAAGTCTTTTGCTTTCGTAGTGAGTGATTTTCGTGTGCAAGTTCGGTACTAGTCCCTCTAGGATTTTCCAGGTGTATATAATCATGTATCTCTCCCTCCTGCGTTCCAGGGAATACAGGTTTAGAAACCTCAAGCGCTCCCAGTAATTGAGGTGTTTTTATCTCCGTTATGCGCGCCGTGAAAGTTCTCTGTACATTTTCTAGGTCGGCAATTTCACCTGCCTTGAAAGGTGCTGTTAGAGTGCAGCAAATATTCCAGCCTAGATAGAACAAGTGACCTGAAGAGTGTCATCATGGCTTGGCCTCCCTAGTTTTGAAGGTTCTCATTATCCATCCTGTCATTTTTATAGCAATGCGATTGATACAATGTTATGGTCCTTGAAGTTGAGATCCTCCGACATAATCACTCCCAGGTCTTTGACGTTGGTGTTTCGCTCTATTTTGTGGCCAGAATTGTTTTGTACTCTGATGAAGATTTAATTTCCTCATGTTTACCATATCTGAGTAATTGAAATTTCTCATCGTTGAACTTCATATTGTTTTCTGCAGCCACTGAAAGATTTGGTTGATGTCCGCCTGGAGCCTTGCAGTGTCTGCAATGGAAGACACTGTCATGCAGATTCGGGTGTCATCTGCAAAGGAAGACACGGTGCTGTGGCTGACATCCTTGTCTATGTCGGATATGAGGATGAGGAACAAGATGGGAGCTAGTACTGTGCCTTGTGGAACAGAGCTTTTCACCGTAGCTGCCTCGGACTTTACTCTGTTGACGACTACTCTCTGTGTTCTGTTAGTGAGGAAATTATAGATCCATCGACCGACTTTTCCTGTTATTCCTTTAGCGCGCATTTTGTGCGCTATTACGCCATGGTCACACTTGTCGAAGGCTTTTGCAAAGTCTGTATATATTACATCTGCATTCTTTTTGTCTTCTAGTGCATTTAGGACCTTGTCGTAGTGATCCAGTAGTTGAGACATGGGACAAAATTGACCTAATTTGCTCAAAATGCTCTGCATAACAAGTAGCTTTCTATATACATAGTAGTATGTCATTGATGTTAGCTAGGCCGGTATACATTGTACATGTAGAAATTAAGATGATATTATTATTATACTATTACAGTACTGCATTATCATACACACTTGGAATACCAAGCATACCATTACAGTACTACTGTACATATCATTCACACTTGGATTACCAAGCATACCATTACAGTACTACTGTACATATCATTCACACTTAGAATACCAAGCATACCATTACAGTACTACTGTACATATCATTCACACTTAGAATACCAAGCATACCATTACAGTACTACTGTACATATCATTCACACTTGGATTACCAAGCATACCATTACAGTACTGCATTATCATACATGCTTGGAATACCAAGCATACCATTACAGTACTGCATTATCATTCACATTTGGAATACCAAGCATACCATTACAGTACTACTGTACATATCATTCACACTAAATACCAAGCATACCTTACAGTACTACTGTAACATATCATTCACACTTAGAATACCAAGAACATACCATTACAGTACTACTGTACATATCATTCACACTTAGAATACCAAGCATACCATTACAGTACTACTGTACATATCATTCACACTTAGAATACCAGCATACCATTTACAGTACTACTGTACATATCATTCACACTTAGAATACCAAGCATACCATTACAGTACTACTGTACATATCATTCACACTTAGAATACCAAGCATACCATTACAGTACTACTGTACATATCATTCACACTTAGAATACCAAGCATACCATTACAATACGTATTTCTTTGCAGAGGTTACAAATACAAATTTTTATTTCTTTGAGAAGGTTACAATGTGTGTGATTTACTTTTTATAAAATGTTGTTAAGTACAAAGAAAGCCACTAACATGCCTGAGCATGTTGTGCAGATTAATCAATGTTTACAGATTAATTAAAACTAGACACAGGTTATGAAGTGGTAAATTTTAATTCAATATTTTACATTATAACAATATAGAGCTAGCCAAAATATTATAATTAATAAGATTTTTAGTAGAGAAGTAGTTAAAATAATAGCATTGCAATTAGTAATGTAGTGTAGAAAGAGGTTTGGTAATAAGTAATACATATTTTATGAAAAAGAGGATAAATAAATATACAAGGTATGATGTAGCACGTAATGAAAGTAGTTTGTTAGATTATGTATTGGTGGATAAAAGGTTGATGGGTAGGCTCCAGGATGTACACGTTTATAGAGGGGCAACCGATATATCGGATCATTATCTAGTTGTAGTTACAGTTAGAGTAAGAGGTAGATGGGATAAGAGGAAAATGGCAACAACAAGTAAGAGGGAGGTGAAAGTGTATAAACTAAGGGAGGAGGAAGTTCGGGTGAAATATAAGCAACTATTGGCAGAAAGGTGGGCTGGTGCAAGTACAGTGGACCCCCGGTATACGATGTTAATCCATTCCTGAGAGCTCATCGTATGCCAAAATTATCGGAAGGCGAATTAATTTTCCCCATAAGAAACAATGGAAATCAAATTAATCTGTGCAAGGCACCCGGCGGCGGCTTGCTGCCCTAATTGCTGTCAGTAACACTATCCACCAAAAGTCTGGTAGTTACAGTATCTCAAAATTGCTAATCAACAGGATGTTACCAATTCTGGAGACCGCAGTAACATGATGTCAACAGGTCCTTCTCTAACCCACATTAGGTCCACTACTCCTACTACCCACACAACACTTCACCCAACTTTTGCCACTAAATATGCTTGTTTTCTTAGTTATCTCTGTATTAGAACTGAAGAAGCCACTTGTGGTGAAACATTTCCTTTAACAAATGTCCTGAACTGTGCATCACCATACCATCTCTCCCTTGAAAGAAGGGTTTATATTGCAGTGTAATGTTGTATATATATATATATATATATATATATATATATATATAGTAGGCTCAGTTAATATGAGTGCATATTTTGTATATTAGGTAAGTTCAAACTCTTGAAGAGAGGAGGGATGTGTTGTCTAGTGCAGGAGTTGATCATCTACACAGCAGCTTTTCGTTGGGTAATTAATGGTTTAAGGTGATTAGACATAGTAGATCCCCAAGCACAAATGCCATAGGTGAGGTAAGGGTAAATTAGAGAGTGGTATAGTGTAAGTAGTGCTCTTTGGGGTACATACCATATTTTAGAAGGGATGCCTATTGTTTTGGAGACTTTCTTGGCTATATGTTGAATGTGGGTCTGAAATTTAAGGTTCTAGTCAAGGTGTAGACCTAAAAGTTTGCCCTCAGCGTGTCTTGTTATGGAGAAACCATTTATCGATATGTTAATTTGGATATTTAAGGCTCTGTTTCCAAACAACATGTAGTAGGTTTTATCTTTATTAAGAATGAGTTTATTGGTCGTCATCATTTTTAGTTGCTCATCGTTAACTGTGTCACTAAGCATAGGAGAAAACATAAGTAGTGTCATCTGCGAACAGAACTGGTCTGGTTTAGATGAGGTGCATTAAGGAGATGATGTAAATGAGAAAGAGCAGAGGGCCAAGGATACTTCCCTGTGGTACGCCAACAGCTACAGGCTGGGTAGTTGAGTTGAGTACTACTGTACATATGATTCGTGCTTGGAATACCAAGCATACCATTACACTAAAGCATTATCGTTTACACTTGGAATACCAAGCATACATTCAATAGCACTACTGCATTATCATTCACGCTTTGAATACCAAGTAGTATACAATTACACTACTGTACATATCGGTCACACTTGGAATACCGAACATACCATTACAGTATTGCATTATCATTAACACTTAGAATGCATACCAAGCTTACCATTACAGTACTACCGTGCATATCATTCACTCTTGAAATACCAAGCATACCATTACACTACTGCATTATCATTCACATTTGGAATACCAAGCATACCATTATAGTACTGAATTATTATTTACACTGAATACCAAGCATACCCATTATAGTACTAATTATCATTCACACTTGAAATCCCAACCTTACCATTACAGTCCTTCACATTGTTCACACTTTGAATATCAAACATACTTATTATATTACTGTACTGTGTATTCACACTGCACATTCCAGTACTGTATCAGTATTAAAACAGAGTTATCTTGAAAACAGTGTTTTATTGTAGAGTTGTAGCACATATAAATTTTATTTACATTGAACTGTTTTATACTGAAGTTATCAATAAATTTCTTTTTGAATTGGAAGCCAGAGTGATGGTATTAAAAGTTTTTACACCTTGTACATTACAGTTTATCTTCTAAATAACAATGAGTCAAGTGACACCTGAAACGGATAGCGGGGGATCACAATCAACGTGGATGGCAAGTCACGATCATCACCCTCACATGCTGCTTGATGAGAAAATTGCAAAAGCAGGTTTTATGGATCAGTTGCGAGCTCTACTAACTCGTAATCTGATACTGAAAAAGCGAGATAAACAAAAGACTCTGTCGGTGAGAAACTCATCATATTTGAGGCAACTATTTTTTTTTTGCCTTTTTTTTTTTATGTTTTAGTCAATAGTCTAATTTCTCTTTCTCAAGACTTATGGTTTACTGCATGACCCATATGGTCTTAGCACTTCATATACTAATAATATAAAAGTAAATGTTTATGATAAGAATTTTTTGTGATGTGAGAAGGCTCCTACTAATGTTATTGTATTGTATTTACAAAACAATTAACATTTATTTTGAGCAGCTTCTTTAGCATTTCCCAGTCCATATATTATAGTGCCTGAATGCTAGTGTAAAAGTGACCAGTGTTTACCTGGAGATTACCTGAAATTGGCCAAATTAGATTTCTGACCTTTATTGGGTAGTTGAAATAGGCACGTAGGAGGTTTCTTGTACTCAGTCAACAGAATATAAGGAAAACAGTAGGGCCTTGCTTTTTGGCATTTCGCCTTATGGCATTCTGCTAATACGGCAATCTCAAATTATGACCAAAACTTTCTATACGGCAAGTGGTCTTTCAAATACGGCGCACGCCAGGTTTGTTGCATAGCAATTTCTCACAAGGTATTTCATGTATTAGTTTTTCCAGTGACAATGTTTTTGTTAGTGGTAACTTGTAGGCCTCTGTTCTATGCATCTAATTTTTTTATCTCAATTTGTATTCTTTGTGTGGTACAGGTTGGCCGTCACTAATCCGGCAATCAGTAATCTGGTTCTATCAGTAATCTGGCACTAATTTCTGCTAGCATAACTTCAAATTTCCAATTTCCTTTTCTCTATTTATTGTTATAACCTGCTCACTTTTAGCCCTAGCCATGGTTCCAGCGAATAAAAGAAATGCTTCACATTGTGTAAAGCACATACACATTACATTGTCCATAAAAGAAAAGGTGTCTTTGAAGCCATTGTCAGTCGCCATGAACTCAGCTCACTCAGATGAACTGTGACCGCTAAATTTGGGCCTACATATGTGTAATAAGTGTGTACTACATAAAAAAAAATCCTGCAGCGTGCAGTGCATAATGGAAAAAAAAACTGTAACCGTGTTTATGGTGTACACGCGACTTTGTGGTGTATTTTTGTATGGTTTGTATGGTTGTACAGTGGACCCCCGCATACCGTTGGTCTTACATAACGTTAAATCCGCATACCGCTACATTTTATCGCCAAGATTTTGCCTCGCATACCGCTAAAAAACCCGCTCAACGCTGTTTGTCTGAGACGCGTCTATGTGCGGCCTGAGCCATGCTCACATGTTCCGCTGGTGGCATTGTTTACCAGCCAGCCTCCACGGTAACATCCAAGCATACAATCGGAACATTTCGTATTATTACAGTGTTTTTGGTGATTTTATCTGCAAAATAAGTGACCATGGGCCCCAAGAAAGCTTCTAGTGCCAACCCTACAGCAATAAGGGTGAGAATTACTATAGAGATGAAGAAAAAGATCATTGATAAGTATGAAAGTGGAGTGCGTGTCTCCGAGCTGGCCAGGTTGTATAATAAACCCCAATCAACCATCGCTACTATTGGTGGTACAGCTGCTGCTGCTGCTGTACCACTGTCAGCTGCTGCTGCTGCTGCACTGTCAGCAGCTGCTGCTGCTGTAGCACCATCAGCTGCTGCTGCTGCTGCTGTACCACCATCAGCTGCTGCTGTAGTACCGTCTGCTGCTGCTGTAGCATCATCTGCTGCTGCTGTAGCATCGTCTGCTGCTGCTGTAGCACTGTCAGCTGCTGCTGCTGCTGCTGTAGCACCGTTGTTGGTGTGGCTTATTGAGAATACCAAGAAACAATTAACCCCAGAGGATTTGCCACCCAGGATAACCCAAAAAAGTCAGTGTCATCGAAGACTGTCTAACTTATTTCCATTGGGGTCCTTAATCTTGTCTCCCAGGATGCAACCCACACCAGTCGACTAACACCCAGGTGAACAGGGAAAAACGCCTGGAACTAGTGCTCATATTGGTGAATTTAAAAACCAGCAAAGGTTGGTTTGAGAGATTTAAGAATCGTAGTGGCATACACAGTGTGATAAGGCCTGTTCTGGAAGAAAATGCCAAACAGGACCTACAGTACTCAGGAGGAAAAGGCACTCCCAGGACACAGTGTCTCATCAGTCATTGCTGCATCTTCAATAAAGGTAAGTGTCATTTATTCTTCATTTAGTAGAGTAGTACATGCACAATATATATTGTGCATGTACTACTCTACTATTGTGCATGTATCCTTCTCTTTGTGTGTAGGAAAATGTATATTTCATGTGGTAAAATATTTTTTTCATACTTTTGGGTGTCTTGCACGGATTAATTTGATTTCCATTATTTCTTATGGGGAAAATTCATTCGCATAACGATAATTTCGCATAACAATGAGCTCTCTTGCACGGATTAATATCGCTATGCGGGGGTCCACTGTATTCTCATTTTTTTGGTCTCATTTGATAGAATGGAAGATATTTTACAGAAATAAATATAATTTTGAACTTTCACACTCAAAGTAGCAGAAATGTTCAATTTTTGCCGATGTTTAAGAGTAAACAAATGACGTCACCGTCCAATACGTGTCCAACTGGCCGGTCTAATACAGTCACGAATGGGTTGACATTATTTTTACAATTATTACAATATTGCAGTAGTCTGCATAACAGTAAATCTTCCATTTTTTGTGTGAATAAAAATTCAAAATGGAAAGCAAGTGTAATATAAGAGGGGCCTCGAGACATGAATAATGAACAGAGAAAATGTTATTTTAGTACCAGGAATGTTTATTCTCAACCCTATTTTGAAACTGGCATCTCTTGAAATTTGTATGAAATTGGCCAAATTACTGATTTCTGACCACTTTATTGGGTAGTTGAAATAGGTACATAGGAGGTTTCTTGTACTCAATCAACAGAATATGAGGAATACAGTAGGGACCCGCTCTTTGGCGTTTCACCTTAGGGCGTTCTGCTAATACGGCAATCTCAAATTATGACCAAAACTTTCTATACGGCAAGTGGTCTTTCAAATACAGTGCATGCCAGGTTTGTTTACATTCTCCATGAGCACATCTCTCTCTTATGTAATAATAATCACTCTTGGGCACATTACATCAATATAGACACTTTCATTAACCCATCTATGATATTTTCTTAAAATTATATAAGAAACACATGGAGGTGTGGTTGCCGGGTGGAAGGAAAACATCATGCAATATTAATAATCACTCTTGGGCACATTGATTGTCTTATTTTACTTTAATGTAGACATTTTCATTAATCCATCTATTATATTTTCTTCAAAATTATGTAAGAAACACGTTACATAACATATAAACATTTTATGTTTATATACTATGGAGGTGTGGTAGCTGGGAGGAGGGAAAACATTACATTACTCCCCTTAATACATTACACATAGGTTGATAGACAGCAACCGCCCAGGGAGGTACTACCGTCCTGCCAAGTGAGTGTAAAACGAAAGCCTGTACTTGTTTTACATGATGGTAGGATTGCTGGTGTCTTTTGTCTGTCTCATAAATATGCAAGATTACAGGTGGTATGTCTTGCTACTTCTACTTACACTTAAGTCACACTACACATACATGTACACGTTTATTTATACACACTCATCTGAGTTTTCTTTGATTTTATCTTAATAGTTCTTGGTCTTATTACTTATCCTTTTATATCCATGGGGAAGTGGAATAAGAATCTTTCCTCCGTAAGCCATGCGTGTTGTAAAAGTCAACTAAAATGCCGAAAGCAATGGGCTAGTAACCCCTTTTCCTGTAAAGATTACTAAAAAGAATAAGAAGAAAATTGTCAAAGTGGGAAGTCTGAATGTGTGTGGCTGTTGTGCAAATAAGAAAGAGATGATTGTGAATGTTATGACTGAGAAGAAGCTGGATGTCCTGGCTTTAAGTGAAACAAAGCTGAAGGGGGTGGGAGAGTTTCAGTGGAGAGGAATAAATGGGATTAGACCAGGGGTTTCAAATAGAGTTAGAGCTAAAGAACGAGTACCAGTAATGTTGAAGGATAAGATTTATTTATATTTATTATCACACTGGCCGATTCCCACCAAGGCAGGGTGGCCCGAAAAAGAAAAACTTTCACCATCATTCACTCCATCACTGTCTTGCCAGAAGGGTGCTTTACACTACAGTTTTTAAACTGCAACATTAACACCCCTCCTTCAGAGTGCAGGCATTGTACTTCCCATCTCCAAGACTCAAGTCCGGCCTGCCGGTTTCCCTGAACCCCTTCATAAATGTTACTTTGCTCACACTCCAACAGCACGTCAAGTATTAAAAACCATTTGTCTCCATTCACTCCTATCAAACACGCTCACGCATGCCTGCTGTAAGTCCAAGCCCCTCGCACACAAAACCTCCTTTACCCCCTCCCTCCAACCTTTCCTAGGCCGACCCCTACCCCGCCTTCCTTCCACTACAGACTGATACACTCTTGAAGTCACTCTGTTTCGCTCCATTCTCTCTACATGTCCGAACCACCTCAACAACCCTTCCTCAGCCCTCTGGACAACAGTTTTGGTAATCCCGCACCTCCTCCTAACTTCCAAACTATGAATTCTCTGCATTATATTCACACCACACATTGCCCTCAGACATGACATCTCTACTGCCTCCAGCCTTCTCCTCGCTGCAACATTCATCACCCATGCTTCACACCCATATAACAGCATTGGTAAAACTATACTCTCATACATTCCTCTCTCTGCCTCCAAGGACAAAGTTCTTCGTCTCCACAGACTCCTAAGTGCACCACTCACCCTTTTCCCCTCATCAATTCTATGATTCACCTCATCTTTCATAGACCCATCTGCTGACACTTCCACTCCCAAATATCTGAATACATTCACCTCCTCCATACTCTCTCCCTCCAATCTGATATCCAATCTTTCATCACCTAATCTTTTTGTTATCCTCATAACCTTGCTCTTTCCTGTATTCACTTTTAATTTTCTTCTTTTGCACACCCTACCAAATTCATCCA